ACTTTATGTCATGTAAACAGTCCCATTGCTCCTTACGTCATGTCAACAGTCCCATTGCTCCTTACGTCATGTCAACAGTCCCATTGCTCCTTTATGTCATGTCAACAGTCCCGTTGTTCCTTTATATCATGTCAACAGTCCCATTGCTCATTTATGTCATGTAAACAGTCCAATTGCTCCTTTATGTCATGTAAACAGTCCCATTGCTCCTTTATGTCATGTAAACAGTCCCATTGCTCCTTTATGTCATGTAAACAGTCCAATTGCTCCTTTATGTCATGTAAACAGTCCAATTGCTCCTTTATGTCATGTCAACAGTCCCGTTGTTCCTTTATATCATGTCAACAGTCCCATTGCTCATTTATGTCATGTAAACAGTCCAATTGCTCCTTTATGTCATGTAAACAGTCCATTGCTCATTTATGTCATGTAAACAGTCCATTGCTCATTTATGTCATGTCAACAGTCCCGTTGTTCCTTTATATCATGTAAACAGTCCTGTTGTTCCTTTATGTCGTGTCAACAGTCCATTGCTCATTTATGTCGTGTCAACAGTCCATTGCTCATTTATGTCATGTCAACAGTCCATTGCTCATTTATGTCATGTCAACAGTCCCATTGCTCCTTTATGTCATGTCAACAGTCCCGTTGTTCCTTTATATCATGTCAACAGTCCCATTGCTCATTTATGTCATGTAAACAGTCCAATTGCTCCTTTATGTCATGTAAACAGTCCAATTGCTCCTTTATGTCATGTAAACAGTCCCATTGCTCCTTTATGTCATGTAAACAGTCCCATTGCTCCTTTATGTCATGTAAACAGTCCCATTGTTCCTTTATATCATGTCAACAGTCCCATTGCTCATTTATGTCATGTAAACAGTCCAATTGCTCATTTATGTCATGTAAACAGTCCAATTGCTCATTTGTCATGTCAACAGTCCCATTGTTCCTTTGTCATGTAAACAGTCCAATTGTTCCTTTATGTCATGTAAACAGTCAATTGCTCCTTTATGTCATGTAAACAGTCCCATTGCTCCTTTATGTCATGTCAACAGTCCCATTGTTCCTTTATATCATGTCAACAGTCCCATTGCTCATTTATATCATGTCAACAGTTCCATTGCTCCTTTATGTCATGTCAACAGTCCCATTGCTCATTTATGTCATGTCAACAGTCCCATTGCTCCTTTATGTCATGTCAACAGTCCCATTGCTCATTTATGTCATGTCAACAGTCCCATTGTTCCTTTGTCATGTCAACAGTCCCATTGCTCCTTTATGTCATGTAAACAGTCCCATTGCTCCTTTATGTCATGTAAACAGTCCCATTGTTCCTTTATATCATGTCAACAGTCCAATTGCTCATTTATGTCATGTAAACAGTCCAATTGCTCATTTGTCATGTCAACAGTCCCATTGTTCCTTTGTCATGTAAACAGTCCAATTGTTCCTTTATGTCATGTCAACAGTCCCATTGTTCCTTTGTCATGTAAACAGTCCAATTGTTCCTTTATGTCATGTAAACAGTCCAATTGCTCCTTTATGTCATGTAAACAGTCAATTGCTCCTTTATGTCATGTAAACAGTCCCATTGCTCCTTTATGTCATGTCAACAGTCCCATTGTTCCTTTATATCATGTCAACAGTCCCATTGCTCATTTATGTCATGTCAACAGTTCCATTGCTCCTTTATGTCATGTCAACAGTCCCATTGCTCATTTATGTCATGTCAACAGTCCCATTGCTCCTTTATGTCATGTCAACAGTCCCATTGCTCATTTATGTCATGTCAACAGTCCAATTGCTCCTTTATGTCATGTCAACAGTCTCATTGCTCATTTATGTCATGTCAACAGTCTCATTGCTCCTTTATGTCATGTCAACAGTCTCATTGCTCCTTTATGTCATGTAAACAGTCCAATACAAAGGGAGATGTAAAAATCCTTGGTATTAAATTTGAAAGAGATCACTATCCAACTAAATAAGTCATAAGACATTACCTTTGATGACAAAGTAGAATTTATTTTCAGTTCAAGCACATCTTCCCCTGAAACCAAAATAATATATAATATACCGGTACATACTTTAATATATTAAAAGTAAGAAAAGTACAAAAAAAAGAAACCCACAAAGCAAATGTCATTTTCTTTTGTGACAAGAAATCACAGCAGATGGTTTCAATAATACATTAACAAAAGCTCTATTTTTAGTCCTAATTTGTCCCCAGACTCTATAATTGCTTGACAAACATTTGTGCAATAGTGTACACTTCCCATCCATTTACAAGGGCAAAGAAACCCACGTTGATCACATTTTTTTTTCATCCAAATAAATCCTAGATTTGCTTTTTTTCGATACCTTATAATTTGTTTTTATCTGTGTATCTAAGAAAAGAAATACAATAATTTTGAATTCTTACTTCCTCAACATACATTTGAACAAAAAATACACCTTTCTGACTAGAGACAACTGTGAATCACACAACAATTTGATTTTTAGATATTACACTTACAATGGGAATGTGAGCATGATGCAATTCCAGAAATTGTTTGGATATTAAAGTATACTACAAGGCAGCAAGTAGTAATTCTGAAATTCATACCATTTTTATTTTAGCCGTTTTTATAAAACTTTATTCAGTACTAGAACCTAAAAAATAAATGTCATATCTTCTTTACGATGGGAATACAGCATATTCTATATACCATAATTACCATGCCATGCAAAAAACAATTTATAAATACTGTAGAAGAATTAATTATTGACTAGGTTTTAAATCAGTTAAAAATTGAGGTTACACTTAGTAGTAAATCTTAAAACTATAAAAAATCACCGCATCACCAGGAAATTTATGAATACCGGTACTGTAAACATTATCACAATTTCAATTTAAGTGAATTGAAAATCCAATAAAAATCTGCTCAACTGCTAAAAAAAAAATATATGACCCCCCCCCCCCTCCTGTGAATATGCATCTATTGTGAGATTAATGCCGTTAAGATAAGAAATTTAGTTATATATATATATTGTTACAGTGTGTGTATTTATATTATCCCAGTGTACCATGAATGCATTATTCAGATTGGACAATATCCTTTTTAATTTATGCAAGCTGTCATTAAAGCCTTTGTTTACTTGTCTCAGTCCCCTCCAAGCCAGCAGCCAGGAAATATCTTACTTGTACAATCTATGTTCATATAAGTATATGTATCAGGTGGGGAATATATTCACGAGTTTCCAAAAAAAAAAAGGTAGAAATGACTGTTTTACCACACACAAAAAAACGGTAAATTTATAAACTGCAAGGGAAAAAAATATGGTCTCTGCTAAGCCACAGTCCCTCAACACCTAAATGCACAAATTTTCTCTAGTGTTTTGCTCTTCATCTAATCAAAACTTTAGGGTAATGTTATAAAGTATTAAAAATGCAACAATGCAGAATAATTTATACATCTTGAAGAAATGGGATTAAACTTAAATAAAGTGAGTTTGTGGCAAGGTATCACATTGTGTGTTTGTTTATGTTTTATCTTAACAAACCAGGGCTTAGTCTAGTTTATAGTTCCATGGTCTACCCTAGGTAGTATAATAGTCTGTCATCAGCACATCATTGCATCTCAAATGCTCGTACCAGGGCCCATTATATTTAACTCCAGAATGTTTTTCTGATTTGTTTTATTTGTTGTTTTAATCACTAAAAACTTCAGGAAACTAACGCTTACGTAATTACAATAACACACACCCACCCCTAGACTTGCAAAGTCAAGACTTTTTTTTTGTTTTACAAAAAGAAATATATAATTATTGTTTTAGCGTGAGAGCAAAAACTAAGCTGACTGCTGAGAAATCCCGACTGGATGCATCTGTGGGCATTTGACTGCTATTAATTATTCATGATGCATTGTTTATTCACGAGTGGGTGTGTGAATGTAAACGTGACGTTTTAAAGATTGATTCTATTCGATCGCAGAAATGGCTACTTTTTTTAAGCGCAACGGCGATACTTTCATCCATGTTTACTGAAAACAATTCGATTTAAATGTCCATTGTATATGTAGTCTTTCCAAATCGTCGAGACCTAAGAAGTTAAAGGTCACGTACATTAAGATAGATAAGAGATGACGTATACAGCTGCACTTTGATTCGTTGTCAATGCTAGACAACATCTTTTAATTAGCATAATCACCAGAGTGATTTCGCTCCAGTTTTCACTCCAACGCAGGGGGTCGCCTGTAGATGCGTCCAGTAAGGATTTTCTTTCGCAGTCACACTAGTTTTTGCGATCACGTTAAAAAGGCTAAATTGACAATTATATTTTATTGTAAACCAAAAAAGAAGTCCCGACTTTGCCTGTCTAACCCCCTACTAAATCTTCTAGGTATATCACAAGATATATTGCACAAGCCACAGGGTTATTGCTTAAATAACAGTTACATTGTACTGTCAATATTTCAGTTCAAAGCCATATATATAAAATGTGTTGATATTAGATGTAAGCACTATGGTATTGTACAATATTTGGCAATGAAATATAATAATTCAATTCATGAATATATAATTACTATTTATGATACAAATTATCTAATGCTAAAAGTTCAACAATATCGTACATGTCACCAACCATAAATGGTACACTGATTACTTTTACATAATTTACCAAATAATGATGTACTTGATACAACATTTTTTTTTTGTAGTGCAAAATAATTAAAATTAAAATATGAACCTATAGTTTAACACTAATTTAAGAAACTTTGTTAAGACTGGAAAAACAAAACATATCTTGTTTTTTGAGGTTCTACCAGCATTGCTTATCGTTTGGTATGAAATATATGCAAAATTAAACTTGGTTTAACAAGAGTAAGCATGCTCGATCAATTTTGGCAAGGAAAATACAATTTTTTTGGGGTCAAAAATGATTATTTAAACTTCATAAAGAAAATAACAGATCACTGCATTATCTAGTATCAGATCACTGATCTTGGAGAGTTTTATACTAACATCTGGTTTTCATTATCAGCATTGTATAAATGTCTTATTTATAAACTGAATGAAATAAAAAAAATTGTAGAACTAGTATTAAACTTGTTTGTTAATAGTGAACCACAGGTTAATAGCGAACCAGAGAAAGACTATACAAAGGCAGGGGTTGGGCAAAAATTAGAACAGTGTAAATAATGGTATTATTTTGACCAAAAATTCAACAAAAAAGATATCATCTGTAATTATATAAAAAACATTAAATAATTTTTATGTTAATATTAGCACTACATGTACTATATTAGTCTCAGGGTTCCTTATAAAACACGAGTTGTATAAATATTCCTAAATAATACAATACATGCATGAAAAATACTGGCAAGCGTTTAGCAGATTTGTACTGCAACTATCTAATGACAGATCTGGTTCTCATAATCAGTATAAAAGTCTTCATTAAAAATGTTTTCTTTTACTTCATATCTTAAATTTTATAACATACAATGC